GAGCCGAAATGCAGTTTGTTTGTTTTTACTATATCAAACTATGCCAGTGCTTTATTTAATAACTAGAGGCCCAGTGCATGAAATTCATGCACTCAGGGCCGGAGGTGGGGGGGGTCCCCTCAGCCCAGATTGCAAGAGGGCACAGGCCAGGCTGAGGGACCCCACCAGTGCACGATCAGGACCAGGGAAGGACGCAGGAGGTTGGCCAGCCGGGGAGGGACCACGGGAGGGCTCCAGGGCGTGTCTGGCCAGTCTCGCTCAGTCCCGATCGGCCAGACCCCAGCAGCAAGCTAACCTACCAGTCAGAGTGTCTGCCCCCTGGTGATCAGTGCATGTCATAGCAACTGTCGACTGGTTGACTGTCTGCCCCCTGGTGGTCAGTGCACGTCATAGCAAGAGGTTGAGTGGCCTTAGCATATCATTAGCATATTACACTTTGATTGGTTGAACGGCCAACCAGATGACCGGACACTTAGCATATTAGGCTTTTATTATATAGGATTCTCTTCTGTCTCATGGCATATGTCTACTTGCTTATATATTACATTGTTAATTAAGCATTTGTAATTTTATAGGTAATATATGCATTCTTTGCCAGTTTTATTACATAGACTACGAACTTCATGTGCATATATATAGGAAGACAGAACTACCACAAGCTGCACAAATGTCATCTAAGCATTAAGTAAGTGTAGAACATAGGACTGCTAATCTCAGTTTGCTCTGTGATGTCAAGTGCAGAATGTACAATTAACTGGTGATTTCCTCATACTTTTGATACTACTTGTACCTGTATATCTTTTAGAAAGACATTGATGGAGTTTGTATCCCTTTTGTATTTTTAATACAATTATTGTACATATTGGTTATATTTGTCTGGAAGATGGTAGAAATGTACTATTTTTATGCTTCTACATCCACTTTGTATAAGCTGGAAAATAAATTAATATAACATAAAAAGAATTCTGCGTTTTTTTTCCAACCACAGTTTACATTCAATACCCTTACACACCAGTTTCAGATGAATAGCAAAGTAGCCATTAAACCATATACTCTAGTGTTCCTCCCTGCTGCCCCTAGCATCTACCTGGCGCCATACCCTGTTATCTCAACATTATTGATCACATCCTCCATGCTACAATCCACATCTCTGTAGCTATTCTGCAACTACCAATTTGTACTGCTTAATCTCTTCACTTTTCTTTTTTTTTTTAATATTTTATTGATTTTTTTACAGAGAGGAAGAGAGAGGGATAGAGAGTTAGAAACATCGATGAGAGAGAAACATCGATCAGCTGCCTCCTGCACACTCCCTACTGGGGATGTGCCCACAACAAAGGTACATGCCCTTGACCGTAATCGAACCTGGGACCCTTGAGTCCGCAGGCTGACGCTCTATCCACTGAGCCAAACCAGTTAGGGCAATCTCTTCACTTTTCACCCAATCCAATCCCCCTATGTTCTGACAGCTATCAGTCTGTTCTCTGTATCTATAAGTCTGTTTCTATTTTGTTTATTTTGTTCATTAGATTCCACATATAAGTGAAATCACATGGTATTTGTCTTCCTCTGAATGGCTTATTTCATTTACCGTAATACAGTAAAACCTCAATATAATAGACTAATTCAGGCAAGGGGGTGTGCATTAAAACCAAAAGTCCGTTATATAAACATGCAATTTTTCCGAATGCATACATTAAAAATTTGACAAATTAGTTTAGCTGTTTTTACTTATGTAAACACGTGTGTGTAATTAAAATTAAGTATGTATGAAAAGTTTAATTTCACAGGAGAGTTTTCTACCTGTATTACTGTAACTTTTAATTACTGAATAGGTCTAATAAATGAGTGCATTCACCAGTCACCAAGAGTACACAAATGTACATGGCTGAGGCATGGCTTAGCACACACATTAGAACATTGGCCTGTAAGAGTGTGTTAAATCTGCTACAGAGCCCTAGCCGGTTTGGCCCAGTGGATAGAGCATCAGCCTGCAGACTGAAGGGTCCCGGGTTCGGTCCCGGGTTCGATCCCGGTTAAGGGCACATACCCAGATTGTGGTCTCTGTCCCCGGTAGGGGGCATGCAGGAGGCAGCCAATCAATGATTTTATCTCATCATTGATGTTTCTACCTCTCCCTCTCCCTCCTCTCTGAAATAATATATATATATATACTAGAGGCCCGGTGCACAAAAATTTGTGCACTTGGGGGGGAGGGGGGGGCTCCCTCAGCCCAGCCTGTGCCCTCTCACAGTCTGGGACCCCTCGGGAGATAATGACCTGCTGGCTTAGGCCTGCTCCCGGGTGGCAGAGGGCAGGCCCAATCCCTAGGTGCAGCCCCTGGTTGGGCTCAGAGCAGGGCCGATTGGGGGATTGGGGCGCCGCCCCCTGTCATGCACAGAGCAGGGCGGATCAGGAGGTTGCGATGCCACCCTCAGTCACGCTCAGGGTAGGGCCGATTGGGGGGTTGGGGCACCGCCCGCTGTCACACTCAAGGCAGGGTTGATGGGGAGGTTGCGGCGCTGCCCCGTCACTCACAGAGCAGGGCCCATCAGGGGGGTTGGGGCTCCGTACCCTGTCACGCACAGAGCAGGGTCGATCAGGGGATTGGGGAGCTCCCCCCGTCACGCACAGAGCAGGGCCCATCAGGGGGTTGGGGAGCTCCCCCCTGTCACTCACAGAGTAGGGTGGATCAGGGGGTTGGGGCGCTGCCCTCTATCACCCACAGAGCAGGACCGATCAGGGGGTTGGGCACTGCCACTGTCACACTCAGAGCAGGGCCGATGGGGAGGTTATGGCTCTACCCCGTCACACACAGAGCAGGGCCCGTGGGGGGGGGGGGGGAGAGAAGGGGGGTTGGGGTGCCGCACCCTGTCACACACAGAGCAGGGGCAATCAGGGGGTTGGGGAGGTCCCCCCATCAGGCACAGAGCAGGGCTGATCAGGGGGTTGGGGCCCCTTCCCCTCTCACAAACAGAGCAGGGCGGATAGGGAGGTTGTGGCCCCGCCCCTGTCACACACACAGCCGCAGGGCAATCAGGGGGTTTGGTCGCTGCCCGCTGTCACGCTGATCCCGGTGCTGGGAGGCCTCGCAGCTCCGCTGATTCCGGGGCTGGGAGGCATATTAGCCTTTTACTATATAGGATAGAGGCCTGGTGCACGGGTGGGGGCCGGCTGGTTTGCCCTGAAGGGTGTCCTGGATCAGGGTGGGGTCCCGCTTGGGTGCCTGGCCGGCCTGGATGAGGGGATGATGGCTGTTGGCATCTAGTCACACCCCCTTCAGGGTGGGGGTCCCCACTAGGGTGCCTGGCCAGTCTAGGTGAGGGGCTGAGGGCTGTTTTCAGGCTGGCAGGTGACTGAAGCTCCCAACCTGTCCTTTTTTTCTTTTTTTTTTTATTCTGGGCCAGCTTTAGCTCTGAGGCTTGGCTCCAGCTCTGAGGCCTCGGCTGCTGAAAGCAGGTATCTGGTTTGTTTGGGTTCTATAATTGTAACACTGTTGCGGTCCTGCTCACTCCAGCTCTGAGATCCCGGCTGGCTGAAAGCAGGGATCTGCGTTTGTTCTATAATTGAAACAATGTTGCGGTCCTGCTGGCTGAAGCCCGGCTGGCTGAAAGCAGGTTTCTGGGGTTTTGTTTAGCTTCTTTATTTGTAACACTGTTTCTTAGAGTGCAAGCTCAGAGGCTGGCAAGGCAGGCGGGGGAACGTTGGCTTCCTCTGTCACTGAAGCAAGCAAGCCTCCTGTTCGCTTCAAGCTGCCTGGCTGCCGGCCGCCATCTTGGCTGGCAGTTAATTTGCATTATCGCCCTGATTAGCCAATGGGAAGGGTAGCGGAGGTACAGCTAATTACCATGTTTCTCTTTTATTAGATAGGATGTGGAAAGAAGAGTTCAAAAAAATAAAACTGCTACAGAAAGCCTCATTTGACAACCAAATCAATTACCTCAAGTAATGCTGTGTGATCACGCCTTAATTATTTGCTGAACATTGTTTATGAGGGTTCACTCTTGAATTTAATTATGTAGACTATACTTGTAGACATGTAGTATTTATTTATTTTGGCGAAATTACTACATTGTTTTTCCCAACATATGGCCTATTTGCTAAATTTGTTAAAAAATAACAGCGAATTAATAACAAAACAATAACCTGTTAATTTCTTATAAGTAAATCCTGGTTAAAAGCATTTTAAGCCCTGGCCAGTTTTGCTCTGTGGTTAGAGCATCAGCCCTTGGATTAAAGGGTCCTGTGTGCCATTCCAGGTTAAAGGCTTAACCTCAGGTGCAGGCTCGATCCCTGGCCCCAGTTGGGGGCGTGTGCGGGAGGCAACCAACTGATGTGTCTCTCTCACATCGATGCTTCTCTCTCTCTCTCTCTCTCCCCTCCCCTTCCACTCTCTCTAAAAATCAATGGAAAAAAATATCCTAAGGTGAGGATTAACAAAATAAATAAATAAATTTTTTAAATTTAACAGGTGTTAATTTTCACGTATGACATTTGGTCCAGGAATTTTGTCCAATAAATCCAAAGTCTATTAAATCGAGGTATACAAAATCAGGGTTTACTGTATCCTTTAGGTCCATCCATGCTGTAGCAAAAGGTTAAGATTTCCTTCTTTTTTACAACTGAGTAGTATTCCATTGTGTAAATATATCACAGCTTTTTCATCCACTCATCTACTGATGGGCACCTCGGCTGCTTCCAAATCTTGGCTATTTAAATAATGCTGCAATGAACATAGGGGTACATATATCCTTTCGAATTAGTGCTTCAGGTTTCTTCCGTTACATTCCCAGAAGTGGAATTGCTAGGTCATAAGGCAATACTAATTTTAATTTTTTGAGGATCGTCCATACTGTTTTCCATAGCAGTTGTACCAATGAATTCAGTTTTCCCGTTTTTCCATAGGCCACAAAACTTTAACTCACATTTGGGGGTTGGGACAATATAGAAGTTAATTATTTTATTTATGAAAGTAGGAAAAAATGTTAAAATGAACTTACTTGCTGAGTTTGTCTAAATTCTTCCAATAGTTTTAGTGCCATGTCGTAATCTTTCAGCAAATGGTATGCAATAGCATACCCAATCCAGGAAGCACGCTGTGTTGGGCGCAACTGAAGAAGCTGATACCTTGTCTCCTTTAAATAAATAAATAAATACATACATAAATAAATAAATTTTTTTTTAACTTTTTAAACTTTCTGTAAAGTATTTCTGTTCATCACAGTTTTCAGGGAACAATTCAATACCTTTAATTCTTTTTTAATGTATTCAATTAACAAATATATGTTCCACAATAAAATACTTTCTGTGTGCCTTATCTAAATTATTTAACTTGTAAAATACCCCATATAATGCTCATTGTAAGACTGTCACTGAAAAGTCGGCCCTGAGGCTCATGCTTTTGGACCGACTTATAAAATTACCTTTATATAATAATTTCTTTTGGTAATTACATATCTTAAAAGAGAGACTGAGATAGTTTTTTACTGAACTAAATTTTGCTGTTTACAAAATTATTATATGAAATTACAATGGATTAACATTGGTATAGTAGGCTCCAGAGACAGGATGGAATTCTCAAACATCTTTTCAAGCAGAAACACCACTGCTGCCACTCTAAGACAGGTCAGTATCTATTACATTAGGAAGAAAACACCAGAAATTCCACTATGGCTATCCCAGAAGAATCAAGATATCATCATTAACAGAAAATACAACCTCCTTACACAGACCTCACTTCTTCATTGCTCATATCTGTCTCCAAGTTTTACAAAAGTGCATCTGCTTGGAGGAACAGGTCTCATGAAAAACTCTAGTTGCAATGGAATTTTGAAAATGTAGTGTTTCGCTTCCCTTACTCTGTTGTTAGAACTGGTAAAAGGAATGCCAAAAGGGCCCTAACTGGTTTGACTCAGAGGATAGAGCGTTGGCCTGTAGACTGAAGGGTCCCAGGTTCAATTCCAGTCAAGGGCATGTACATTGGTTGCGGGCACATCCCCAGTAGGGGGTGTGCAGGAGGCAACTAATCGATGTTTCTAACTCTCTACCCCTGTCCCTCTCCCTTCCTCTCTGTAAAAAATCAATAAAATATATATTTAAAAAAAAAAAAAAAAAAAGGAATGCCAAAAGGAATAACAAGATCAGATCTTCTTTTATAAAGATTATCTTTGACGAAACAACTTAGTATCACTCCTCTACCTTCATGTGTAAGTGTCTGGTTCCTTTTAGGCAAATAAAATTACTAGAGGCCCAGTGCACAACATTCATGCACTGGGGGGCGGGGGGGGGGGCGCATTCCTCAGCTTGGCCTGCGCCCTCTCTTGCAGTCCGAGACCTCTGGGGGGGATCGGGCCTAAGCCAGCAGGCAGACATCCCTCTCACAGTCCGGGGCTCTAGCAGTCCAGGACCCCTCATTCCTTACCACCTGCCTGCAGCAGTGGGCAGGAGAGGCTCCAGCCCACCGCTGCGCTTGCCAGCCGTGAGCCCAATTTCTGGCTGAGGGGCGCTCCCCCTGTGGACCACCAGAGAGCAGCTCCTGCATTAAGTGTCTTCCCCCGGTGGTCAGTGAGTGTCATAGCAACCAGTCATTCTGCCGTTCAGTTGATTTGCATATTAGCCTTTTATTATATAGTATGCTATTATCACTCTCATTCCTTATTTTCATTATTGCTTCAGTTACTCCACCCCTTCATTAAAGTCTGGGTCAGTTTTCTTCTTGCTGCCAAATCCTACCATTATCCTGGGTAAATGGAACACCGTAGAACACCCATCCAACAACCTATCTTACATCTAAAATTTCCTTATCTTTAATGATGTCCTCTACCCCTCTTCAGGGACCCACTCCCACAACCACATCCTAGACCAGGGATTTTCAACTGGTGTGCCACAAGAATTTTTAAAACATGCAATACCTGACTATTTAGTCAGGAGTCAGATGCACTGACCTCTTTTCCCTTAGATTGTCAAATAAAAACATGAAAACAGCCAACACAATAGCCATCTGGTGTGAATGAATAAAAATTATACGTATTTTTTTTGGTCAGATTGGCAAAAAATATAATCTATTTTTTGGAGTGCCACAGAACTTTAGTAATTAGCTTATATGTGCCATGAGATGAAAAAGGTTGAAAATCGCTAAGATTGTCAAATAGAAAAATGACAACAGTCAACACAATAGCCCATTGATGTGAATGCCCTGTCTTGAACCATAATACATAGGTCATATAACAGAGTTGTATCTTATTGGTCATGCCACATAAGGTTGCATCTAATTGGTTAATTCTTGGTACCAGAAATCCTTATATACAAGTATAGGCACCTGATTTTTTTTTAAATCACTTTGGAGTAAAAAGGATAGATAATTACTATTATTATTATTTTTGTAAACCAATCAAAATTATATCTTTTTATGATCAGATTAGCAAAAATATATATTTTTGGTGTGCCACCGAATTTTAGTAATTAGTTTAAAAGTGCCATGAGATTAAAAAGGTTGAAAATCACTGTCCTATTTGCCACCCAGAAATCACAAAAACAAATTATCTCATTCTCCGGTCACAGCGCCTATGCTGCCAACATTTTCACTCAGTGACATTCCTACCCTTGTTCTTAATCCTACTAGACCTGAGGCCCTGAACCTAATTGTCCCCTATACCTGGGCTCCTGAGCATTAAAGAGAAAAAACCAACATGATATAGAAAAATGTTAGTTACATGCAAACAAGTGGTTAGAATAAGATGGAACTTGGAGACATTATAGAAAATAGGTATACCTTTCATCTACCTTTCATCTAGCGCCAATATTCCACCTTTGTGTGGAAATTACCGAAAAATCGGTACAGCGGTCTGGTAGGGTTAAGAGGACACCATTAGTAACTCTAGTTCCTTGCGTCCTTCACTTCTAACCACCAGCTCTTTTACTTTCATTAATTTCACTATCCCTCTTAGGAACCACTCTGTTGCCAATATTCTTAATTTCTTTGCCTCATGAATATAACTAATGTTAACTCTCACCACACCCAGGCTGTTAAGTACTGCTGAAGAAAAACCACACAATCTTGAAGAATGATTATATCAAGCTCAGCAGAACTCTTTAAACTTCTGTAAAAAATCTAGGCATAGGGTATAATGACTTATGGCAGAAGGGCAAAAGTAAAAAGTACATGAAAGACAATTCATTTAAGAAGTGTTAAGAGTTGGTGGCCTCCTTCACAAAAGAAAATAAGAGAATTATGTTTTGGACATAATGAATTTAGGATACACATGGAGATGTCCAGCAGAGCTGAAGATGCCAGTATGGAATACAGAAAGACTGATGTATGGCAATCCTCACATTATTTTATATTTACTAACCCATAATAAAGAAAGCTAACTAATCTCTACATTTAGATTTCAATTATAAACATTCTTTTTACCAAATTTGTAAATGTCAAACCAACAAAGAATATAGTACAGCATTTGTACACAGGAGATAGTACAGTTTTTTTTTAAAAAAAGCATTAAATAAAGTTATCCCTTGTTGATAATGCAGTTCTACAACTATTATTGGGAGAAGGTCCCAAGTGACTTTCCACTTCTAGACTATAATGAACAATCAAATCTACATGATCTTGGCTTACACTCACTTCATTCTGAATTCACATGTTTTAAATTATATCTATCTGTTAAAATGTGTACACTTAAGATTAGAGTACTTACTCGGTAACCTTCAAGGTCTCTCATTTGGATCTGCAATAGAGAGAGATCCCTCAAAATTTGCAGATTATCTTTATCTAATTTCAGGGCATTTCGGTAACACTTAATAGCTTCATCATATTTCTTATCAGAACGCTGCAAGAGTCCATATACATGCCAACCTACTAAGTTAAGGAAATACAGACATTCACAGGTACTAGAAAATACTATGCTATATACCTATCTAATATAAAGCTTACTTTAACAAAATGGAATTTTTGTCTGAGATTTACTTCAGAATGACCTGGGGTCAGAGGGAAGGGGTCAGTGAGCAAGTGGTAAAAGATAACATGAGATCAGCCTTGACTGACAACTGTTAAATTATTGAAGCTAGGTGCTGGGCACATTCACTTACTATGTACTAGTATTGAAACAGAATATACTAGTATACAAAAATTATCTTTTAAAACGAGTCTATATTCAATCAATTCTAAAACAACATGTAACCATCATTTAATTCACCAACGATATTAAAAACCACAAAATTAAATTTTTATTTATTGTAAATTAAATTCTTAGCATATCTTGGAGCCAAAACCACTACCATACTTATATGCCCTCTCTCTTTGCTCGAGAGTAAGCACTGAGATAAAGAAATAAGTATTGCCCTAACCGGTTTGGCTCAGTGGATAGAGCGTCGGCCTGCGGACTCAAGGGTCCTGGGTTCAATTCTGGTCAAGGGCATGTACCTTGGTTGTGGGCACATCCCCAGTAGGGGGTGTGCAAGAGGCAGCTGATCGATGTTTCTCGCTCATCGATGTTTCTAACTCTCTATCCCTCTCCCTTCCTCTCTGTAAAAAATCAATAAAATATATTTAAAAAAAAAAAAAGAAAGAAGTATTTAGTATTTTGAGAGAACCCTAAGCTAAAAATGTGAAAACACAACTAAGACTATTGATGTTCAATACTGGCCCATAGATGAATTAAATGTAAAAACATAAGAAACAGGACAATATGTGAAAAGGTTATTAATAAATATATAAATAAGCAAAACAGAAATGAATTTCAATGATCCAACCTTAAAAAAGTATTTTTGTTCTTTTACAAGCTGGATACTAGACACAGAAAAATACAATTATGAGTATCAGTGAAAATAGCTATGTCCCTATGCAAATGAAACAAGCTGAAGAACCAATATAATATCACACTTAATACTAAATAAAATGTTTTAAAACAAATTTCCTCTGAATTTTTCTTGTAAAGTTTCTTAACAAAAGTTTAAAGAACATAAATTTTACTATACAGGTTTACTACACTATACAGGTTTGTAAGTTATCTGGAATGATGTGAAATATCACTAGTTTATGGATGTATAGAAAAAACAATGAGGTTCAAGTCACATATAATTATCAGCACTCTTCTCTCACAATAAGCACAACTGAAATACATACATACTGTATAGAGATTCTCTTTAAAATACTCCAATAAATGAGGCATAGGGGACAGATAAACTAATACTACAAAATGTTGATAATTATTGAACCTGAGTAATTAGTACATAGAGTTCATTAAATTCTCTTCTACATAGGATTGAATTTTTGAATTAGGAAAAAACACTAATAAATTGAAAATATATATATGAAATTAAACTACTCAACCACTGCAAAAGGATACAGACATGACTCTTGACATCATTACGAAGTCCTTTACGAACAAATTCATATGCTTCTTCTTTTTTTCCTAAACAGTTCAATGTTAAGCCTTTCATAGCCAAAGTCTCTGAAAAATATTTTTAACCTCTATTTACACATGAAAGATTCAAATTATCTTAGGGTTATTTTAACATTTGACACCTGCCATGCTTTTATTATTCATCTTTTTAATCCCATAGTTAGAAGAACTTCTCTCCAAAAACTGCATTTTAAATATTTGCTTAAAGTTTAGCCCAGGTCCTTTTCTGAAATTCCTTAGGTGGGGACTGAGTTGCTAAAATGCTTTCTGCTCTTTAGAAGACTCTTTAAAGGGGGTTGAGATGATTCTGCTGAGAAAAGGTAACACAGCAGGCACCTGAATCCTGTTGAGCTAAATCTATACAGCAGTCCACCCTTCACCTGAGATCAATTCGAATCAAGAATCAAATCTCAAATCTGACTTACACCCCACAAAACAATCTACCTTAACAAAGAGAGAAAAAAATCACCTTACTCAAAACTGGAATAGACTGCATTGTTGGCAAGTTTATTCTAACTAATCCTAATTCGGCTAATTAATACCCCTTTACCTTTCAAGGATACAACATTGGATGACAGGAGTGGCAACCCAAAAATATGTTTAAAGTAATTAATGAAAGATGCTTTAGATTGAAATAACTCTCTGAATAATCCCCCCCAAAAAATAATCCACAAGGGAATTAGATAAGAACAATTGTTTTCAAATTAATGTCTGTGGATTCTTGTTTTCAGAACATGGTGATAGAACAGTCCAAGCTCCTATAACCAAACAATTTTTTTTCTGTTTATACATAAAGAACTTCCCTACAAGCTTCCACTTACTAGTAGATAATGGTTCCGTAGTGAAAAAGTTTGAAAACAAGTTTAAATTTCTAAAATTCTATGAAATGAAGACTTCTTTCCATTTCCTTCAAAGAATGTTTTCAACATTAGAAAGCTGAGCCGGGTCAGCCTATTTTCCCAATAAGACAATTTCAAGAATTACCGAAGTCTAATATTCAGTGACCTCAGTTAACTTTGCTTTGCTATAGGACCTTAATTTGTGTATCTAACCTCATCTATCCTTTTAACAAATACTAGTGACCAGTGAAAAACGATGAGACAAGCAAATGCAAACTTATTAATACCAGTGCTAGAAAAACAACTCAAGATAAACAATCTAATGATAAATGTCATATTTATATATAAAGGCCAGCAGATATATAAAAGACATCTACCAAAAATAAAATGCATTTGACTGTATCTTTATACTACTTCTGTATTGCAAATATTGTCCTAATTTTATACATAGGAAATCAAAGAATAAACTTAAGTTCTAGTCAAATAGATGAAATCACGTCTATAAAAATATTGGCATATCCTCCAACTGTTTCCCAATTAATCAACCAACAACCTCTCATCTAATAGTAAACACTCTATATGTATATGTATATGTATATGTATATGTATATGTGTATATGGACTTAAACAAAATAGAAGTAAAGTAACCTAGAATAAGACTGACATGAAATATAACTAAAATGTTAAATATTTATACACTAGAGAGCTACTAGGCCATGGAATCTGGGAAGTATTCTTCTTTCACTGTTAGGAATCCTATCTGTCTGATTTTAGGATTAGATTTCCCCAAAGCAATCTCTCACAGGTAAGACAATACCTCCATGTTCAGCAAATTTTGGATTCGAAAGAATCATCTTGCAAAACTTGAGGCCATTTTTATATTGCTTCTGTTCATAACATTTCTGTAAAGAAATATAAACAAAAATTATTTTATAAAATAAATATACACGAAACAACTTTTACATAATTCAAGATCCAAAGTGAGGTTTAAAACATATGTGACGGAAAGATTTTATGTCAATTTATATCACTTACTAGAGGCCCGATACACGAAATTTGTGCAGGGGGGTGTGGAGGGGTGTCCCTCAGCCCAGCCTGCACCCTCTCCAATCCAGGACTGCTGGCTCCCAACCACTCACCTCTCTGCCTGCCTCATCACCCCCTAACCGCTCCCCTGCCAGCCTGATCGACGCCTAACTGCTCCCCTGCCAGCCTGGTCCCCCCCAACTGCCCTCCCCTGAAGGCCTGGTCGCTCCCAACTGCCCTCCCTTGCAGAACTGGTCGCCCCCAACTGCCCTCCCCTGCAGACCTGGTTGCCCCCAACTGCCCTCCCTGCAGGCCTAATCGCCCCCAACTGCCCTCCCCTGCAGGCCTAATCGCCCCCAAATGCCCTCCCCTGCAGGCCTAATCGCCCACAACTGCCCTCCCCTGCCGGCCATCTTGTGTCCACATGGGGGCGGCCATCTTGTGTGTTGGAGTGATGGTCAATTTGCATATAACCTCTTTATTATATAGGATAACATGAAGTGTGTTTCTGTTACCAAACTGTTCTAGTGTCTGAGCATTTTCACTTTTACAGAAGATAAAGAAAAAACAATACACTTAATAAACAGGGAATTTAATTGTCAATCAATACTGCTACAGCTTTTTAAAATTCAAAACCCAAAAGCAAAAATATATGTGATAACAACAGAAAAATACTAGAAACTGCAATAAAAGCCTTTGGTACTTCAAGAATGGAACCAAAAGCCCAGCCATTGTGGCTCAGTGGTGGAGTCTTGACCTATGAACCAGGAGGTCACAGTTCAATTCCCGGTCAGGGTACATACCCGGGTTTCGGGCTCCATCCTCAGTGTGGGGCAACTGATCAATGATTCTTTCTCATCATTGATGTTTCTATCTTGCTCTCCCTCTCCCTTCCTCTCTGAAATCAATAAAAATATATTTAAAAAAAAAAAAAAAAAGAATGGAACCAAGAAATACACACACAAAATACTGCTATTTTTTGAGCAACCCTATTTTGAGTGTCTACAGAACTTGCTATAATTCATATTAATTCCTTAAGGTAGGTGTCATTACCTCCACGTTACAGATCTGGAAAATGTTCATAAAATGTGTTTATAAGTGATTCAGCTTAGTTGAAAACTCTGGTGTGAATCCAAAGATAATGGTCTTTCCATTACTAGTCTAATGTAAGTGTAAGCAACCTCTTTATTCCTAAACTAGAGGCGCAGTGCACAAAATGCGTGCACAGGTACTGTCCCTAGTGGCTGCCTGCTGCCAGCCGGGGCCTTCCTTCCCCCAGCTGCCAGCCGCCGGACAGGGCCTTCCTTTGTTCCGCACCGCCCCCTGGTGGTCAGCACAAGTCATAGTGAGCGATCGAATTCCTAGTCGGTCGAACTCCCTAGGTGACACTTTGCATATTAGGCTTCCATATATATACTAGAGGCCCAGTGCATGAAATTCATGCACGGGGCAAGGTGCGTGCATGCGTGTGTGTGTGTGTTTGTGTGTGTGTGTGTGTGTGTGTGTGTGTGTGTGTTCCTCAGCCTGACCTGCACCCTCTCCAATCCGGGAGCCCTCAGAGGATGTCCTACTGACAGCTTAGGCCCGCTCCCTGTGGTTCTCTGCTCTCTGCAGGGCCTGCCTGCTCCACACCGCAGTGAATGCCAAGCAGGCCATGCTGGGAGCTGCCTTGTGGGCTGCTTCCCTGCTCCCAGGTTGCCGCGGGCCATGCTGGGAGCTACCTGCGGGCAGCACTTACCTGCTCCCCAGTTGCCGAGGCAACGGCCAAGCAAACCGTGCTGGGAGCTGCCTGCAGGCCGGGGTTGCCTGCTCCCCGGTCACCCTGGCGACAGCCAAGCAGGCCATGCTGGGAGCTGCCTGCAGCTGTGCTTCCCTGCTCCTGCGTTGCCACAGGCCGTGCTGGGAGCTGCTTGCCTGGGAGCTGCCTGCGGGTGCGCTTTCCTGCTCCCGGGTCGCCACGGCGATGGCCAAGCAGGCCGTGCTGGGAGCTGCCTACCAGTGGGGCTTGCCTGCTCCCAGGTTGCCGCAAGCCATGCTGGGAGCTGCCTGCGGGCCACATTTGCCTGCTCCCAGGTCGCCATGGTGACGGCAAGCAGGCCAAGCCGTGCTGGGAGCTGCCTCCTCCCTGCTGTCAGTCTCCACGGAGGTGATGAGGTTAATTTGCATACTCACTCCTGACTGGCTGGTGGGCATTGCAAAGGTACGGTCAATTTGCATCGTTCTCTTTTATTAGTGTAGATAGACTGGAAGCCTGGTGCACAGACTCATCCACCCGTGCGAAACCGGTTCTCCGACATCCCCCGAGGGTTCCCAGATTGTGAGAGGGGACAGGCCAGGCCGAGGGACCCCACTGGTGCACAATCAGGGCCGGGGAGGGACTGCAGGAGGGCTCCAGGGCGTGTCCGGTCCAACTCACCCAGTCCTGATCAGCTGGACCCCAGCAGCAAGCTAACCTACCAGTCGGAGCATCTGCCCCATGGTGGTCAGTGCTCATCATAGGGACTGGTTGAACGGCAAACGGTCGGACACTTAGCTTTTATTATATAGGATGCCACCAACCAGGCTAAGTAATCAGTGACTGTCCTCCAGAGCCACTGATCATGAGAACATCTCATCTCCTTTCACTCACATTCTCACTTATGTTGTTACTAGAGGCCCAATGCATGAAATTCATGCAAGAGTCAGCCTTCCTTTCCCCAGCTGCCAGCACTGGCTTCCCTCTGGCACCCGGGCTTCCCTCGCAGCCCCGGCTTCGTCCGGAAGGACATCTGATCTAATTAGCATATTACGCTTTTATTATTATAGATAGTGTTCTTTCTAGTACTTATCCCCATGGTAGGGCCTCTGCACTTCTGTTTCTTCTACCTGAAATGTTCTTCCTCAGGTCTTCCTGTGGCTAATTCCTTATGGTTTGAGTGTCACATATCACCTACCTGACCACTCTATTTAATACTGACAGCTTTCTTACTCGCCCCCACCCCGCCCGACACAAACATTTTTCTCTATATATTACTCTATTTTCTACACAGCATTATCATTTCCTGACATTCCAATTTATGTGATTACTTATTTAGTATCTTCCCCACCATACTATAAGCTCCTTGAGAACAGGAATCTTGCTTATTTTAAAACATGTTTTTATTGATTTGTGAAAGAGGGGGAGGGAGAAGAGAAAGAAAGACAAACATTGATTGTTGATTGCCTCCTGCATGCACCCTGACTGGGGATCAAACCCACAACCCAGGTAAGTGGGCTTAACTGGGAATCAAACCCATGACCCTTCCATGTGAGGGCCGACACTCTAACCACTGAGCAACACCAACCAGGGCAGCTCTTGCCTATTTTAAACACTCTTGCATCCTCTGGTTCTAGACAAATAAGCACTGCTCAATGAATACAGCCTACTAAGTTAAAAAACAAAACAAACAAACAACAAAAAAAAAAAACAGAGTACCAGCAAAGGAGGAGGAAGTGATTAATCCTTGCTACAGGAGTGGGATGTGCAGGCGAGAATTAGAAAAGTGTTTACAGGAAAAAAAATGTTTATATTGAGGTTTCCTGATTGCCTCTAGGGAAGGAAACTTAATGGTTGGGAGACAAGGATAGGACAGAAACCTGAATTTTGAACCATGGAAATATATTACCTATTCCAAAAATATTTTAAAGTAAAAAAAACAATAATAATAATAATCTGCCCTAACTGCTATGGCTCTGTGGATAGAGCATCGGCCCGTGGACTGAAGGGTCCTGGGTTTGATTCCTGTCAAGGGCATGTACCTTGGTTTCAGGCTCAATCCCCAGGAGGGGGTATGCAGCTGATCAATGTTTCTCTCTCATCAATGTTTCTACCTCTCTCTTCCTCTCTGTAAAGTCAATAAAAATATAAAATAAATAAAATAAAAATTTAAAAGAACCACAATGGTAGAAATACTTTATTTTAAAAAATAAATAAAAAATAATAATCTGAGTTTGACTATAGGAGTTCACCTGACATATGACAAGAAGAAAAAAGGAACAGAAGAAACTACTGGGGAAGAGGAAAAAAAGAAAAATATGTGGGGGGGTTTTTCTGACTGACCAAGTGATCTTGAAAGTAATAAATATAACAGTAATAATAACAGTTACTGAAACATTTACTATGTGACAGGCACTGGTTCTCATTTAATCTTTATTGAAATGCCAGGAAAGCCTCTGAGATGCATGTTATCTCTATTTTATTTATTTACCTATTTTACTGATTTCAGAGAGAGGAAGGGAGAGGAAGAGAGTTAGAAACATCAATGAAAGAAAGAATTATTGATCGGCTGCCTCTTGCATGCCCCCTACTGGGGATCAAGCCCACACTGGGGCATGTGCCCTGAAGGGGATCAAACTCAGGATCTCTTGGTCCACGGGATGATGCTCAATCCCCGGAGGCATATCAACTGGGCACTGAGGCACACAGTAACGTGAGTTTTCACAGCTAGTCAGAGCCACAATTCAAACCAAGGTAGTCTATCTCCATACCCAAGTACTCAAGTTAAAGAAGAGTCTTAGCTCTAACCAGTTTGGCTCAGTGGATAGAGGGCCGGCCTGCGGACTCAAGGGTCCCAGGTTCGATTCCGGTAAGGACATGTACCTTGGTTGTGGGCAAATCTCCAGTAGGGGGTGTGCAGGAGGCAGCTGATCGATGTTTCTAACTCTCCCTCTCCCTTCCTGTCTGTAAAAAAATCAATAAAATATATATTAAAAACAAAGAAACGTCTTAAGTTCAGTAAGGAATATATATTTAGTAGAAAAGATAGATTCTTGTTTTGACTTTGATACTAACCAGAAAACCTTAGACCAGTGGTTCTCAACCTGTGGGTCGCGACCCCTTTGGGGGTCGAACG